CTGCCCTTTCCCTTCCAGCTGGCTTGGGCAGCCTTGTCCAAAGTTACCTGGCTGTGCGCACAGGTGTCTTCCTCCTGGGCTGTCTGTTCCACAGTCACACCTGTCTGTCTCTGTGCAACCCTACCCTGTTTTGATTAATGTAGTTTTATGTAAAGTTGAAGTCATGAAGCATGAGTCCCTCGGCTTTGTTCTTCTTCTTCAGTGTGTTGAGATTGCATGTGAGAGCCAACGTGAGTTCTGCTATCTCTACAAAAGACACCGCTGGGATTTGTGTAGGGATTCCAAGTCTGTAGCTTGCTTTGGGTGGTAGTGCTATCTTAACAATACTGAGACTTCCAATCATTACCATTGCACCCCTTTCCATTTATTTATATCTTTAATTTCTTTCAGCAATGTGTTGTTATTTTCACTGTAAATCTTTCACCTCCCTGGCTAATTATCTCCTAAGTACTATATTCTTGTTGATGCTATTGTAAATGAAGTTGTTTTTGTCATTTTCTTTTCAGATTGTTCATTGTTGGCATGTAGAAATGAAAGTGATTTTGTACTTTAACTTTATGTTCTACTTTGCTAAATTCCCTCGTTTTCACAGTATTTCGTATGTGAAATTCTTAAGAGTTTCTGTATTTCATCTGTGAACCGAGATCATTTTACCTCTTCCCTTCTGAACTGTTTGTGATTTATTTTTCTTGCTTAACTCCTCCACCTGGGCCATCCTGGGCAGTGTTGGATAGGAACGGCAGAGGCAGGGGTCTGGGTCCCAGTTTTACGGGACAATCTTTCAGGATTCTCCATCACAGGCCTAGAGTATGCCAGACTAGCACTCACCACTGATCTACGTCCTTGATCCCAGGTACTGAATTTTGTTGAAAGTTTTTCTGCGTCACTTGTTCTGTGAATTGGCATGCCCCAGGATTGGTTTTGATGTGCGGAATCATTCTTGCATCCTTGGCATAACCCCACTTGGTCTTGGTGTGCAGTCCCTTCCATCTGTTGCTACATTCAGTTTGCTGGAACTGTGCAAGGACCTTGTACAGTGTGTGTAAGGATTATTGGCCTGTGGTTTTCTTTTCTTATAATGTTCTTGTCCAGTTTTGGTGTCAGGGTGATGCTAGCTTCACAGAGTAAGTCGGGGAGGGTTCCTCCACTCAGTTTTTTATCAAGCTTTTTTTTATCAAGTTTGAGAAGGCCACGATTAGTTCTGGAGTGCTTGGGTTCCAGATGATCCCCTGACTCTGGGTCCAAACAGTAATAATCACGGAGCTACAGGGACCTTCAGGTGCTTCCTGTTCTATGGTTCCATCCTCATAGCGCCCTGCCCACAACACTAAGATGCTTCCTAGGAAAACTGGGGCTCAACCCCTGGCCTCCTGTCTCTTAGTATAGGCTCTTGACACCGCAGCAGTCTCTAAGGAAAGGAGGATGTGTTCATACACAGTGTAAAATTAGTGCTGAGGACATCACAGACCTGCTCTTGTTCGTGGTCTCCATCGGTTTTCTTCTCCCTGTTGTTCCTCTGAACACATGTGTGTGTTGCTGGTTCACCAGCATCTCAATGCCAGGACCTGGGAAGAGACTAAAAGCCAGGGGAGGAGAAGCTGTAGGACTGAGGTGCAGGGCCTGGGGGCCTTCACACCATCTGCTCCTCCAGCAGTGAGGAGGAGAGTAGCTGACCTGCATCCACTGCCTGTGCCAGACCCGAGGATCAGACTCAACGCTCACTAGGAGGAGGCCATGTGTTTGACTGTCCACACTGCCCAAAAAGCTGTGTGGGGAAGCAACTCTGGAGGCAGCACCGAGTTCAAGAAGACATAAAGGGCTAAGCAAGGAGCGTCTGGCTGCAGCCACTGGTTCTAAAGATCATGGACCGAGGAAAACATACAAAACAAACCAAAAGCATCTGTTAGGAAAGGCAGGGGGTTCTGGGGAGACTCTGGGGTAAAGCAGTGGCTCATCCTGGATGCTGTATCCATGACCACCCACTGGGGTGAATCTGAGGGGGCAGACTCAGGCCAGGGACAGGCTCCAAGCAGCAGGACAGGGCGGAACCATAGAAGGAACATGCTGGTAGAATTATAGTCAGAGACGACCTCAGTGACCGGCCATTCTCGGGAGACATCAAGGGTACCGCAACGGCAGACTGGGACCTTTGTCACTCAGACTTTATTTATATACCAGAAGCTGGAAAACTTTGCTTCAATAAGAAAAAAAATATTATCTAAGAATAACCAGATATGTTTATGCATGTACGAGCGCACCAAAATCAAGTCCATTTCTGCAGGACTAAGATGCACTAATAAAAATAAACACATAAATTTTTTTTCATGTATGAATGGTTGATTTACAGGCTGAGCATCCCTCATGGACAATGCTTAGGACCAGAAAGAAGTACATCAGATTTCCAATTAGGGTGGGGGTTGGAATACTGACAGGTATATAATGAGGTGTCTCGGGGACAGGCCCCAGTATGAACACAGACTCCGTCTGTGTTTCCCATGCACCCGGCACACTCAGCCACATGCTCAGTGTACCTGAGTCTCGACCACGGGGCACACCAGGCTGCTGGGAGCACCAAGTCACAGCTCAGGATGTTTCAGGCTTCAGAGCACTCTGGGTTTGAGACACTCAACCTGCATCTATCAGAATACTTAAACTGCGAGAAGTAACCAGCCATAAAACCAAGCATCTGGCACAGAAGGCCAACACCTGCTCTCTCTGCTGCAGGAAAGCACTGCTCGGGATTTTAAGGTGGACTAAGCTGCAGGGATGCTGTTAAAATGGAGATTCTCAGCCAGAAGGGTCACAAGTTCAAGCCCAGCCTGGGCAATTTAACAACTTGGGGAGACACTGTCTCAAAATAAAAAGGGGCTAGGGATGTAGCTCAGTGCAAAGGCCCTGGTTTCAATCCCCAGAGCCCCTGCCATCCAGATGCAGTGTCCAATTCTGGAGACATGGATCCCTCAGGATTATGTTTCCTCCCCGGTGCTGGGATCAAGTCCGGGGTCTCATGCCAGGCATGTGCTCCACCACAAAGCTGCATCCCACAACCAAGGAGATGCTGAGCGGCTCCATCCCTGCAACTCTGTGAGCTAAACTGCAGATGGCACAGAGGAGACTAAGATGCTCTGGTCCCAAAGCCTTCATGCTGGGTTCAACTTCGGGGATACAAACAGCTCAGAACAGTCACAGCTAAGCAGGGTCCTCTCATCAGCGACACTGGGAACTTTCTTCTTCCATACATGCTCCTCACTGCCTGCTCCCTGCTCAGTGAAGAAGAGGGAAGCGGGGATACGGATTTTATGGTCTCAAACCACCTCGGTGGGGGCAGCAGGAGGACACTGGCCTTGGGAGCTGTCACACTGGCAGAGAAGGTGCCACAGGCATCGTGAGAGGAAGCTAGAGACCTTGGCGGGGGCACCAGCAGATGATTCTGTCTGGCTGGGCAAGCACATGTGCCTCAGTGGAGGAAGCAGGATTTGAACAAACCCAGCTACGCATGCTCTGCAAGAGACCTACAGCTCCCGTGGTGGAAGGAGCTCGGGGAGAGATGCAGAGCCAGCTCAAGGTCATCCCAGACTCACGGCGCATCCAGCTCACATGCAGTACACCCAGGTCACACACACGCTGGGAGGCACTCACCTGAGAGCCTGGCTGTGGCTTCTCCGCAGGAGGACCAGATCGTCCAGAAGGAGGCTCTGCACCGAGAGGGATCATTAACAGATCATGCGTGGTATGTACAGATGCCCACAGGAGCTTTGTTCAATTAATGTCTGCCTCCAGAGCCCGCGCTTCAAAGCCACGACCACAGAGAAGACACTGTGTTTCTGACCTCTCTGAATCACACGGTGTTACAGTAACACTCACTCGCACTCGCTGGCTCAGTGCACGCCTGCAGTCTGAACGAGGTGTCTGAAAATGTTCTCTCAGATTTCTCCACAGGTCGCCAAGCTCTCTTCTCTACCTCTCTCTTTCAGTTTCCTGCAGCTTTACTGTGTCTCCCACCTCATAAGCAGTTATAACTGATAAATGCTTACATCTTGTAGAAAGCCACAGCTCCAAAAGTGTTGGAGATGAAATATTTTCATACATAATAGTTATTAACTTGCACATAGAGCAAGCCTGAGGAAAGCCATTCTTTATCACTCCTGAAATCTTAAGCTCTGGGATTCTTCCCCCTCCTTCTCTTCCTTCTCCTCCTCCTCCCCTTCCTCCTCCTCCTCCTTCTCCTCCTTCTCCTATCTCTCTGTCTCTCTGTCTCTGTCTCTCTCTATGTCTCTCTCTATGTCTCTGTCTCTGTCTCTCTCTCGCTCGCTCTCTCTCTTTCTCTCTCCAGCCTGCATAGGAACATGGGCCAGGGAGAAAACAAGTTTTTTCACTAAATCAAGAACATCAAGCAGGGAAGATTCTGGTTCGATTCCTGGCAGTACAGTGGGTGCTGGGCTCACTCTGATAGGCACACTGAACCTTTCAGTCCATACCCACCTGTGTCTCCTTGGGGTGGGAGGTCGGGATGGGGGGGTCTCATCCGCGTCTTGCACTAAGGTGTGGGTCTCTTGTCACCCCTAAGTCTGTGCGGCACGTTGTGTTGACTCCCTTCTTCCTGCAGTGTTGAATGAACAACCATGCGGCCCCTGGAACAGGCGGACCCATTACAGACCTGGTGCTGAGCTCTGCCAGGGCGAGTGGGCACCAGTGTAACTGGACAGCCCTGGGTGTTGGGGTGTCTGTGAGCACTTGGGTGTTTCCGAAGCCTGCCTCAGAGCTGAGGTCAGCAGCTTCTTTCACATGGAAGCAGACTTTGCCGAGATGTGGGCCGTCAAAGTCTGGCAGATGTCCTGGTGGAGCTGTTTGAAAATCCAGGGAACTAGCAGGGCTGTGAGTTTCCCACTCCCACAGCCTGCATGCCTGCCGGGGATGAGTCCACCAGACACAGGATGGGTCGGGTGCTGAGCTCGGTTCCGAGCGTGGTTCTCATCTGCTCTCTGCTTCCTGCTCCCCAGGAGAAATGGGTTCCTCGAGGCAAGTTTGACCTGCGCATCCTGCGCAGCTGGACACCCAGCCAGGAGACCAGCACTATGGACAGCCTCGCTGGGCCAAAGAACGAGCTGGTGCACAGTAAGGTTCTGGACACTGGCCCAAGGAATGGCCTGATTAACACCAGAAGCTTCATGGCCGAGGGCAGGGATGGCCTGGTGTCTGTGTATCCAGCACCTCAGTATCAGAGCCGCCAGAGCATGGACAGTGTCGGGAAGGAGGCTGCACAGCAGCTGCTGGACCCCAATGCCCTGCAGAGGTCGGTGGAGTCTCGTTACCGGCCCAACCTCATCCTCTACTCTGAGGGCATGCTGCGCTCGTGGGGCGACGGAGTGGCCACCGACTGCTGTGAGACCACCTTCATTGAGGACCGGTCACCCACCAAAGACAGCCTGGAGTACGCTGATGGGAAGTTTCTGGACCTGTCAGCTGAGGACATCAAGATCCACACGCTGTCCTACGACGTGGAGGAGGAGGAGGAGCTACAGGAGCTGGAGGTCAGCCAACACATGGGCTGGGCTGTGGGTGTGGGGACTACCAGGGAGTGGTTTTGTCTCGTGGGTCCCTTAACTTAACATTCCTGAGTTACTACCTAGAGGTCATTTGTACAGCTAATGCCTACAGGACAAAAGCATGCCTATGGAAAGGAAAGTCGGGCTGAATGACCAGCCAAGCCTCTCTGAGGACCAGGCAGTGAGGGGCACAGAAATGCGCAGGTCGGGCTCTGGCCACACAGCATCTGCCCTTCCAGAGGTGCTGTGGGACATCGCGGGGGCAGCCCCCAGCCTGAGACACTGTGCTGAGGGCAGCTGGTGTCCTCCCAGGACCTGCGGCAGGGAGGGAGCTGTGCTTTGGTCAGTCTGTGAGAAGTAAGCCTCCGCCCTCAGGAGGTCTGTGATGCATGTGGTCACAGCGGAGGGCGTTTGCTTTTGGCTCGGGTGGACAGGTGTGTCTTGGCGGCACAGTGAGAGGTCTGAGCAGGGCCATTGTGGGGGCAGGTGGAGGACTCTGAGGCCAAGTGGGAGACACCAGCCTTCTAGGGATGGGATGGAAAGGACATGTCCTGCTGTGCTTTGCTTGAGAGGAAGAAGACAGCTGTGCTGTCCCTGTCAGCCAAGGTCAGTGGCCAGAGCTTGGGGGCTATGAGGAATCAAGACCACTAGAGCAATGATGTGGGTGAGAAGGTTCTGGAAGAGCCTCTCATAAGCCACCTGGGCATCTATGAGGGTGGCCTGGCCCAGGGCTCTGTGGGAGCCAAGTAGGAGGAAGTGTAAGGCTAGGCTGGGCAGACCCCACACAGGAGGGCCAAGTTGGGAAGGAGGCCAAAGCCACCACCAGGGAGTGAGGGAGCATCAGGCCTGGAGGCCACAGGGGGACAGCACAGCCAGAGGGGCTTCTGGCCAGGAGGGCGGGACGCAGTGGGAAACCCATGTCTGAGCCGCAGAGAAAACCACCTGCGGCCCTGGACTCCTAGGGACCATCCTGCCGGGCAGCACTGTGAGTCAGCAGAGAAGGGATGTGGCTCGGCCAGGACCTAGGGAAGGTGGAAGGGCTCTGGCTCTGGTCCAGGGCCACAGCAGCATCCGTGCTCCATGGCCCAAAAGTGACAGCAGAGTCCTTCATGCTGCCCAGCCCGAGAGCAGTGGGACCAGGCAGAGGAAGAGGCCTACCACCCAGACAGCATCTCCAGAGGCTGCACGGGGAGGAAATCCAAAGGCACTGTGCTGCCCACCCTGCAGGGAGCTTAGGACACTGACGGAGGAGTTAGGGGTCCCAGAATGGTGAATGAGGTCTCTTAGGAATTTTACGAAATGAAAGATAAGTACTTTCTCAGAAACATTCTTATAGTGTAGCTATGCTGCTTCTTATATAACTTTTCAGCCCATTAAAAAAAAGTAGTGACTGAGGAGAGGTCACCCTACCAACAGAAACGGACCGGCACCATTTCCTGTCCTGTAGAGTGATAAAGGGACAGGTATCATTACCGTTTGCTGCACAGCAGGTCAGCCAGAATGACCAGGGGACTCTGAGGTCAACAGCCTGTGCTGGGCCCAGCTGGACAGCTGCCCACGGGACACTCAGGCCACCCAGGCCTGTTGATGCTGTAGTTAGCTGCCAACCCATGGGCTGGGTGGCCATGCTTAGAATGCTAGAGGCTGTGGCTGCAGTGGCAATGACAGTGACTGAACAGGTCCCCTGCTCATCCAGGGGCTATACTGGGCTAGGGCAGGGGTCCTCAGAGCAGCAAGGAAGGGTGAGGCCCACTCTCCGTGGATTTCCAGGTCTTGCTGGGTCACACGTGTTATAGTCTATTGTCCTAAGCAACCCACATGCCAAGCCTGAGTCTCTATGGATGAGGCCAGCAGGGCCATTTACAACAACCCCCCCACCCTGGCACTCACCAGAGCTGACTCAGGTCCCGCAGACACTGACACCGGAAGGCACAGTATTTCCTGTAGCCTGCGCATCCTCCTGACACTTTGGATTGTCTCTAGATGAGTTGTAAAACCTAAACAGAATGTGAATTCTGGGTAAACAATTGCACTGCTTAGGAAATAATGATGAGGAAGTTCTGTGCAGATGCCATGTTCTCTCAAATACTTTTCATCTACAGTTAGTTGAACATGCAGATGGGGACATGCAGGGCAGGGACATAGCCAACTGCAGTGGAAACGGCCTCAACTCGGTGCCAGAGCCACATCAGAGAGCAGAGCCCTGCAAACGCTGCGTGGCCTTCATCACCCCACTGACTGAGTGACAGCAGCTGCAGCAGTGCTGGAATGGGAAAGGTGCACAAACATTGATCTGGAGCTTTCTCCAAATGGAACTCAACTTCGGGGAAAGGAAAAAATTAGATTTTAAGGTCTTTGGAATTTCTATCGCTTCATTTGATCTACAGAAAATCCATACGGTTAACCTCTGAGTGCAGTTTTCGAAACACCATCCACATGGTTAAGCACCGAGTAACCTGGCTGTCACAGGCTCCTCCTCACTCTCTGCCTCGAGTCCCCACTGTCAGCAGCGCTGCATCACTCCATGTCCTGGTAGCCCAGCCATCACAGATTCTCCTTCATCCTATCCACACTGGCTTGTGCCTGGTGCCACACAGGAGGCCTCTGGACACTCAGAGCTTGCTTGCTGACCCACAGTGATGCAGTGTCAGTGGCGTCTCCTCTTGCCTTTGTGGTTGTGGTGATGACATGCACAGTTCCTTCAGCAGCTGTTTTCCAGAGTCCAAATGCAGCTGTTTTCAAGGTCCCTATGACTCAGCAGACCCTTGGGGTCCCCCCTGTTCTACCTGGGGACGGATGTGCTGATACTCAGTAGCAGAGCTGGTTGTGACTTCCTGTGAAACAAGGAGGTCCTGGAGCCTTGGAGCTATGCTCAGGACCATGCCCTTCTCTCAGCTGACCCGTAGGCCTCCATTAGTGCCCTCTGGACATACCGAGTGGGGTAATTGGGCCTGGCACCCATGGCCCTGGGTCTCCACCCAGTATGCAATCGGTGCTTCACCCAATCCAGGAACAGCAGCTGCAGGAATCTGCTTCTCCTTTTCACACAAATAAACTCAGGCAGAGAGATTTCAGGGCCAAATCACAGAGTAGTTCCACCAAATACACAATGGGGAGTTTGAAGCTGTGAGGAGTTGTTGGAGCCTCGGTGTGTAGAGACGTTGGCCAAGTGTCGAAAGCACTCAGCACACTCGTTCATGACGGCAAACAAAGGCTCAGACCCAGAGCATAGGGACCTCATCAACTAAACACTGCTGTGAGGAGATCCTCTGCCTCCCTGAGGGCAGAAGGGCAAGGGAGACGCCTGTCTATGGGCACTTGTTCCACACCAGGCACCGGTGTGCATTCTGCCACATAATCCTCACAACCCCAGGGAGAGTGACTACTGTCCTTGACCCATGTGTGGAGAGAATGACTCTGGTGTTTCCATGGTCACGCAGCCTTGTGTGGAGCCTGCCAAGCTCAGATAGACCTGCTCATTCAGGTTCAGTCTCCTAAGGATGGTGCTGCTCTTCCTACCTTAGGGAAATGCTCATCACAGTGAACTCCTATCTCAGCGATGTGCCCGAGTCTCCAAATGATCTGGACACCACAGCCCCTTTCCCTTCCTGTGATGGTTTGTGTCTGGATGCCCCCCCAAAGCCTCATGCAGTCATGGGTGCAGGCTTTACGATTGATCCATGATCCAATGCTGGGATTGAGTGTAAGTGCTACACCTGCCCTGGGGCGGGTAGTTTGCATATGTAAGGGAAGGAAAGAGGCTTGCTCTTCCAGCTGCCACTCCTCCCTTTTGCTCTTGTTGCTTTTGCGGTTTTCTGTCGCCATGAACTGTTGCCCTCTACCATGTGCCACTCTGCCTTGGAGTTGGCCAAGTATGGACTGAAACCTCCACAAACTGTAAGCTAAATCAAGCTTAACTTTGGGCATCAAGTGTTTTGTCTCAGCAATGAGAAAAAAGTAACCAAGACAGAATTTGGTACCAGAGGAGTGAGGTCATTGCTGTAACTATACCTGACCATATGGTTCAAGAACCTTTGGAAATGGCTTGTGGGAAGTGTTAAGAAAGGTTCAGAGATGTCTCCTGAAAGTGTAGAGCTGGAATGCCTTCGGCTGTTCTGTATGGGAGATTCTGGTCAGAGCTCAGAAGACTAGAAGGCTGATAGAAATTCTGCCGGTAAAGACCAGGTTTAGGAGGTTTCCACTGGGAAGAAGGACTGCATCGGCTGCTGGACTCCAGATGATGTATGTTATGGCTTGGCAGAAAGTTTGTCTGCATTTTGCTTGTGTCCAGAGAATTTGTCTAAGACTGAGATTAAGGGTGGTGGACTAATTAACCTGGCAAAAGAAATTTCAAGGCAGTCAAATGTTGGGGCAGTGGCATGGCTATTGTTGAGGGCTTTTAGCCAGATTTATGTTGAGAATCAAGAGCAAAGAACCCAGCAGGATGATTTAAAATGTTGTGAGTTTGGCTGGAAAGGAAGCTCCAGTAAAGCTGTGGACTGCAAAGATAGAGCCGAGAAGATCTCCATTGCTAGGAAGGAACAGGAGAATATAAAAGATGGCCTGATGGCATCACAAGAAGCAGCAAGTCTCTACTCTTTGCAGCCTCACACCTGCAAAGATGAAAGACTTTGCTTTGAAGAGGAAGCCTCAGAATGGCAGCAGCGGCCATACCAGGTTCCACAACTGCAGTGGCATAGAAAATTTGTTCCTCAGAATCAGGTTCTGAGTGCCCAGTGATCCAGGCACTCTACCCCTATGGCCAAGAGAGAGGAAAGCTTGGCTACTGCTCCAGGTGGCAGCAGACCTTGGAATCATCCACGTGGCTCTGGTTTTAGTTGCATGGAGAATACAAGAGTTCTGAGGTTAAGAATGCTTCCACCTCAATTTCAGAAGGCCTGGGAGGCCAGGCACTATGCCCTTGAAAGGGCAGTTTATGAAGCTGTGAGTAAGAAGCCAGAGGTTCAGTGGAGACCTCAGAAGTT